CAACCCCCCCCCCCACTTGACAGCCCACTGACAATGCTGGATTTATGCGCCAATTTACCAGCTCGCGCGTGGAATGCGCAGCTACCTACCCCACCAAATCATCGGTGAACGAAACTGCGGCATCTACAACCAGTGTACGACGAGTACGCGGTTCTTACAGCTGACGATGATGATGATGATGATGTTTATAGCTGACTTAGACCTTTTTTCAGTTCGCATGTTGAACACTAATCTATCCACAAGTCTTATGGCACCAACATTACCGATCAGCTCATGCAAGCTGTATTTCTATGGTTTCAGACGTACAATCTAATGTCGGAGAAGTGGTTTACCCATGCTTCACCGACCCTGTTTAATAGTGGTACTACTAGACCGCAAATGTCCAGCTGTTTCCTGATCACAATGAAAGACGACAGTATCGAAGGTATTTATGACACACTCAAAGAATGTGCTATCATCTCCAAGAATGCTGGAGGTATCGGCGTAAATATACACAACATCCGGAGCGCAGGCACTTACATCGCCGGAACCAAGGTGGTTTGGATGGAATTGGNAGCGGTTATGTGCTTTGTCCAATTGATTAATCTTTTGCATGACCTTTATTTGGTAGTCAGTTCGGATCGGGTCAGTGTTACCTGTTGACAGTACATTTATCCTTCTAATCCATAAGTTTAGTTTGACAAATTGGGCAGGCGAAACGCAACAGCTTGAATGACCCATCTGTCTCACAGTCCTGTCTTGCCAACCACCGGGGGGTGTTTGGAAGTCTGATATGACGGAGTTAGAGAAATGAATTATCCCGCTAGCCAAGAGTTAAACGTGCGCTCTTTTTTCAGTGTGTTCACTTACTCACTCCCTTTGTTATCAAAAAAACTTGTAGCACCCGGAATCACCGTAGGTAATTTATATACCCAAATATCATATAAATATCACATATACACTCAAAAGAACTATCGAGCTATGTTATCCTTGTTGGCCACGTGCTTCCGTGGCAACTTTTATCAAGCTCCGACATTTGTTTCGCTGACCTGACGTCAGATTGGTTGTCATGGATAGAGGGTTCACAGCTATGGCTCGACCTTTCCTCTGTGTGGAAGACCTTCAAAGTCTTTGTTTGAGCATCGGTGCTCACTAAACATTGCGCAGGTCCATTTGGAACATCAGATCAGTAATGCTGAGGTGCGCCAGATAGTTTTCAAACCAACTCTCACTCAGGTCGCCTGGTCACACCCCACAGGGTATGTTGGTTGGGCCATGTATTTCATGCACCTGAGGATCGCTTACCTCGCAGGGTCCTTTTCGCACAGTCGTATATCGGACAGAGGGATCCAGGCACGGTCAATCCATGACTTGGCAACGAATTATAAAAGCCCTTACTAGTGAACTCAGTCTCATTGGTGACTCGTCTCGTTGGATGGAGACGAGACAAACCAACTGTTTATGACCGTGATAGATATGACTGTGTCACGCACCCAATGGCGGTCCTCTATCAAAGCCGTTACCTTCACCAAGGAACTCTCACTTCCTGCTACGCTGGATAAGCAAACCAATTGGACGTCAGTTAGCTGACTGGACCATCACCTTCAACGCGGGGTTCTCGTTCACTTATCTTCGTTTAAAGAAGCGGTAAAGCTGGAATCAGCACTTCGATAAATGGTTTGTAGTTGAAAAAAATTGAACCGAATGTTCTGCTTTTTCACTGACCAGTAAATCTCCATACTGTTTTCTTTCCTTGTTTCAGTTCCAATGTTGCGTGTGTTTAATAACACTGCTCGCTACATCGACCAGGGTGGAAATAAACGCCCCGGTGCTTTCGCCGTCTACCTGGAACCGTGGCATCCGGACGTCCTCCAGTTCATTGAAATGCGAAAAAATACTGGCGCCGAAGAAATTCGTGGTCGGGATTTGTTCTATGCCCTCTGGATACCGGATATCTTCATGCGACGAGTGGAGGCCAATGAGGAGTGGACACTCATGGATCCACACGAATGTCCAGGTTTACCTGATAAGTGGGGTGAGGAATTTGAGGCCTTGTATCTGAAATACGAAGCGGAAGGCCGTGGACGACGCACATTGCCTGCCCAAGAAGTCTGGTAGGTCCACATCATACTGTCTTTTCTGTTCCCGATGACCATAAGTTTCTTCGTTTTTTTCCATTTTTTTATTCTAGGTGTGTGTGTGTGTTCTAGTGTGTTCTGCAACTGGGTTTCTGTTGAATGTGGCCCATTAGTTTGGAAGTGCTAGCATCCGAATAGGAAAAATAAGCCTATTTTTCTCTAAAGCTGTAAAGCACGTCATGGTCAGTGACCAGAAGCTCGCCTACTGTAAATAATTTGAACGGAAAACCAAGAAGATGTGTAATTAGTCGCTTTTATCTGAGAAGGTTGTCTTGTATGATGCTTTTCCTCACCCCGACCAAAAGAGCATGAAATAGCTCAGTGGCCATGGCGGACCGGAAGGTCCGTGGTTCGAACCCAACCTCCGCATCTGAACTACTCCTGTGTAGGTCTGGACAATTTGGCAGTATCTCAGCCCTCATGCTTCCCTCGGGTGGCGTGACAACTAGGCACCGAAAGGGTGAACAATCATTAGTATTTATTGCATGCTGTGACAACTGAGTACCATCATCCCAAGAAGGCCAGTGTCCTGACTACCTGTAACTGGTCATCGTGATTTTGATTGTTCTCAGTACGTATCACTCACCAATCACGGCTTTATTACGCACAAAAATATCCGTCAAGTATTGTACATTCAGGTCTGTCACGAATGGCCTTCCATCCTTGGGAAAAGAACCTCATCCCGAAACCGAATGCTCCCAAAGATGAACACTAAATATTTTAATATTTTTGTCTACAGCCAGGTGGGCTTCGCACACTCTGTTGGCGTGAAATTTGTTATAAAGGTGTGTTAATACTAAACCAAAACTTAATGGGAGTCAATGAGTGTCCAAACCAGGATGGGCTATCTTTCAGCTCGAAATTTATGTTCATCAATGTTCTTTTTCTATCATAACTACTTCTGAATGGGGTGGAACAGTTTTGGATCATCAGGAAACGAGAAACAAACTCAGGAATATCATTGGTCTAGGGTATAAATACAAAGTACTGCATGTGCGACAAAATTCCAGAACTACTCTCTGACTCCCCTAGTCAGGGGGGGGGTATGTTCCGCTACCCTGTTAGTTGTAGAGTCATCGGTAGCGTATTTCCACACACTAGTTACGTTAGCATATTCCATGGACTCTTTATGGCGTTTGGTTCAAGACTTCAACTTGGTCGGTCCAGTGCACTCTTTTAAAGTGACCGGAGCCAAGTTTTGATAATTTGAAGTCGGTGTCACTATTCCTTTTGTGAACTTATCGAGACAAGGCATTATTTGCCTCACTGTAAAAGGCTACCGTTGTTAAGAGGATACGCAACTGAAACTCATCCATTCAACACGGTTGGCAGTACTGCAGTCCGTCCGGAGCATTAGTGTGGAATATCCTTTAGTCGTCCATGATAGTATAGGGCCGTCACTGATTCCAGGTGACTGGAAAGTCAGTCCAAGGTTAGAAGCACTAAATTCTTCAAGCACTTGCACGAAACTCACAGAGTCAGAGTGCCAGATTTCAACCAACATTGATTCATTGGTCATAGGCGTAAAACATATCACGAGAATTTGTTCAGCACACTTCACTTCAAAGGCTACATTTTGGAACAGCTATAATCATTATTTGACCATTCTGGTGTGTTTTTGGCTTTTTGGAGCTCTTAAACTGGCTTTGTTTACGTGTATTGTCCTCTCCCGTTTCTAACCTAGGCACTCAATCATTGAGGCTCAGATCGAAACCGGAACTCCGTTCATGCTGTACAAAGACGCTTGCAACAGGAAGTCCAATCACCAGCATCTGGGAACCATTCGGTGTAGTAACCTGTGTACTGAGATTGTTGAGTATAGCTCGCCGGATGAAACTGCAGTTTGCAATCTCGCTTCTATCTCCCTTGGACACTTTGTTGATGCTAAAGAACGTACGTTCGACTTTGATAGACTGCAGTATGTGACTCGAGTCATAACAAGGAACCTGAACCGTGTCATCGATAATTCATTCTATCCGGTTGAAGAGGTAAGTGCTGTTCTGTTTTATGGATTGACTGCTTTGCGATCCATACGCAGTCGTGTCACTAGCGGCTTAGTATTGCATTTTCGATCCCACTAACTTGATATCCTCACTTTTGCCTTACCTTGCATCTTTTGTGTCACGTTTCAATCTTTATCCCTACGTAGGCTCGTCGATCAAACATGCGCCATCGCCCTATTGGTATTGGCGTTCAGGGTCTGGCTGATGCATTCTTGTTGCTACGTTATCCGTTTGATAGCCCGGAGGCTGCAGCGCTCAACAAGCGAATCTTTGAAACAATCTACTTTGCCGCTCTTGACGCCTCTTGCGATCTCGCTAAAGAAGAGGGTCCCTTCGAAACCTATGAAGGATGCCCTGTCAGTAAAGGCATTCTTCAGCCGGACATGTGGGGTGTAGACACGGAAGAATTAAGCAAGATCTCCGGTCTCGACTGGGCAGGTTTACGACAAAGGATTAAAAAGTAAGTGAACACCTACTTCTCCCCGACCTTTCTGTATCGTTTTCTCGAACCTGCAAGTCCAACCTGTTCATATGTGTTCGTTTAGGTACGGTGTCCGAAACAGTCTCCTTCTGGCGCCAATGCCAACTGCATCGACAGCACAAATCCTGGGAAACAACGAGTCTATTGAACCGTTCACTAGCAACGTCTACTCTCGCCGCGTGCTCAGTGGTGAATTCCAAATCGTCAATCCCTATCTGATGGATGACCTCAACAAATTGGGATTATGGTCCGAAGAACTCAAGTCCGCCATTGTGGCAAACCAAGGTTCTGTTCAGGATATTCAAGGCATTCCTGATGAAATAAAGGCTCTCTACAAAACCATCTGGGAACTTTCTCAGCGCAAGATAATTGACATGGCGGCCGACCGAGGGCCTTTTATCGACCAAAGTCAATCACTCAACTTACATGTTGCTCAGCCCAACTACGGGAAAATTACCAGCATGCACTTTTACGCGTGGAAGAAGGTAAGTCTACTTGACGTTGCACTTCTCTTATTCCCTGTAAATTACAGCTGATATTGGTTCTACGGAGTGCATCCTGATTTATTTTGCTACTGGCTGCCACGCTGGGGTTTTGTCCCACAACAAGCTTTCTATTCAGGCAATCCTCTTTAACACGTATCGACCAAGCGACAAACTCGGCTTTCGTTTAACGATCATAAAATTAAAAAAATAACGTCATTGGTCTGTCGCTATTACTTGAAGTGTTCACGTGGTCTTTTTCTTGACATCCGTTTTCCAATCCGCGTATATGTCATATGTCAACGAACCGCACTGGAAGATTGATAAAAACACAGACCGGCTGTACCATTGATTGTGACTATCTTCGCCACGTCCATCACCGCGTGTCCTAGATATCAAAAGCATCTGAGTGTGGTAAAAAACGACTTCGTTTAATCACAACATCACTGTTTTACAGTCTTCACACTTTCATGTTGGGATATCTGGATTAGATTTCAGAGGTGTTTGGTTGTGTAGTTCAAGTCCCCCGAAGGATGTGTGTCCCATTTTGATACACGCAAATTTAGGGGTTGCACACCCTTTGGAAAGCTCTCCTTCCTACCGGATTTAACAGCGGGGTATGTTGCCATGGCATGCTCAAAGGAAACTGTACGGTATAGTTATATGACTGTTGGCGAGTTGTGGAAATTCATACCTCAGTTACTAGCAGATGGGGTAGCAGTTCATGCTGTGGTACCCGGACTACTTCTCAATCCAAGCATTGCTGTGGTGTTCGGTGTTTGACAGACAAGCTTGTTCATTTGATAGTCACTCTCCTCCAGAGGTTGTTTCCTTGTACGTCACCTGCGGAGGCACTGAGTCATTTCGTTTCACACCGCCCCCAGCAAACTCCTGGCCCTTCATCTCATTGTGTATCACTCCTTGAGTGACCGTACCTTGGATTCCTCGGCTTGATTCCTTTCTATTCATTCACGAAATAGCGAGGGTACCGTGTGTCATTTGCAAGTGTAGAGCACCAAACTTCGCTTCACATCTTTTGCACTCCTGGTTGCATCTTTCATATGGTTAGTTTCTGCGGTAAGTGGTTGTCCTTTACAATAGACTTGCCATTCCCTTGGAAATCGACGAATGTGTTGTCGGACATACAGTTCAGCTGTTTTCGCTCGGTGTTTAGTGTTTAGCTGTTTCGCATCCCACTTATCTCACCAGACAACTTCCTTGCCCCGCGTTTAAATTGGTTACTTTGCTCATCCATTTTTTCACTTTTTTCCTTCTCAGGGACTGAAAACCGGCATGTACTATTTGCGTACTCGCCCAGCTGCGGACCCCATAAAATTCACCATTGATAAGACTCGTGTACGTGCTTTGATGGAACGAGGAGTGACAGTAAATGTAGGCAACGAGACAACTGGGAAAGGTGACGTCATTGACGAGCAACAGGAAGCGGAAGAGGAGGAGCGCATAATGAAGGAAATTCAACGTCGGAACATGGAGGCCATCACCTGCAGCCTGAAGAATCCAGAAGGATGTTTGAGTTGCCAGGGCTGAGCATTTCTAACTGAGAGTCGCTATTGCATTTATTCAATGCTGGACATCTACTCGTGTATCATCAGATTTTTATACACTGTCAGATACTGATTTTAATGTATGGTTTTTTGTGGCTTACTTTACGGCCTTTGATTTGGTTTGGGTTGGTTGGGAGGGAGCAATGAAATTGTTTGAGGGCATATGGATCCCTTTTCGTATTCTGGTCTCCTATTTGTTCGTCTCCTTGTACCAGTGATGGTTTCATGGTTCATTATATCCAGTTGGTTGACGAGTTCAATGGTATAAGTTGGTGGACTTTGTTGTTCACTTTTTCAGTTCTCCTTTTTATCATACTCCTTTTGGCATAGCTTTATGTTCCTACTCCGCGAAAGACTGGTGAAAACCCACACCGCAAGGGCACACGATCAAGCATTGTTGATGAAGGTGGGAAATAATACATTGTAATCATTCAGCTGTAACACCCTTTTGGTACCTAGCTGTCATGCCACGCAAAGGATGCACAAAGGCTGAGGCATTGACTGGTTGCCCAAGCCTAGACAGGAGCAGCCGAGATCCATAGGTTAGGTTCGAAGCACAGACCTTCCGGTCAGTAAATTCGCGCTTTAACCACTGAACCATTTCGACCTGCGCTGCGTGGCCACGTGCCAATGTACACAAGCTCAGTTTCTCTTTAAGTAAAGGATGTCCGATATGTAGTGGTGAAAGTGGGGGTATCCCCTAGAAGATCAACGAGCAGACAACGAAGAGAATGATATCCATAAGGGAAGTCGCAGAAACGGTTTCGAAACGTGATGACAACCCAAACTGGTTTACTGGCACTGGCCCTCTCATTTCTAAGAACAAGTGACAAATTTACGATTGATTCCACTGTGCTCTCCAGTGCGGGTGAACAAATTAGGTACGCAGAAGTTCGCACTGCGGTCCGGTACATACGTTCCGTCTCTGGTCATAGGTCTCCAGCAAAAACCCTACACTTTTGGGGCCTATAGACAAGCAAAGAATCCGTGTTAAACCAGTGTACGTTTATTCTAATTGCTAACATGCTTCCTTGTTTTCAGGCAAATAAACACGTATTATGAGTGGGCCATAGTGCAGTCGCACTCGTTTAACTCGTGACAGTTTTGTTCCCTGTCATTGTTCGTTCCAGAGATCTAGCACTGTATCAGTGGCGGAATACCGTAATTTTTTTTAGGATGATGGCTAGAGGAGCAATGTGAGTTTGAGTCCCATGACAGGTTTCTGTTCCGTTGTGTGAAGAATATAGCAATAAGCTATCTACTCCCAAAGTCAGCCTCAAACGTGATAGGACTAGACAGGCTACCTATCTAATACGGTAGTTCAGTGGTTAGGGCGCGAACTTACAGACCGGAAGGTCCTGATTCATACCTGACCTCTGCATTTCAACTGCTACTGTCTACGTTTCGGCAAATTGGCGGTATCTCATCCCTCGCACTTCTTTTGGATGGCATGGCTGATAGACAGCTGAAAGATTATTATTATCAAAACGGTAGGCGTGTACTACTCTGTGACTCTTTCCTGTCTAAGAAGTATCATACATCAAAGCAACTACTCATAAAGACAATAGCAACTGGTCCCTAGAGGAGGCTGTTCTATCTGGAGACAGTTTAATTATTTGTGTAATGCCCGTTTGTGCCATGTTGGTACATAAGGAGGGATCTCCGGTGGTGTTTAGTTCATCGGGAATTATGCTGAGGCTCACCGTCTGTCACCCTGTCTGGTGACTGTTCATCGTGTCCGGCTACGCTGGGTCAAGGAAACCAAATAGAAGTCGGTTTCCAGTCTGGTGCTACTGAAATGCTAATCAGAAGCAAGATTGGGCATAGGATAACAGAATTTTGACGCATAAGATCAATCAAAGTAATTAGAGAATGGATTGAGTTAGTAAATCAGTTAGCACCGCTTTTAGCATTTCCGTGACAGACTAATCGTGGTGTATCTGTTTACGTCGTTGCCGGTTCGATTACGGCTATTCTCTCTTGCATGCCTGGTCGGACAGCACCGTGTCAACTATATGGACATTGAGAGTGTTGAGCGCCGTAAGCAACCCTGGTACATGCGACTAAGATACATCCGCTCAAGTGAAGTGTGCAACGGAAGTCTTCATCTGGAAATCCCACCTTCATGAGGGATGCTATGGAATGTCTGTCTGGCGAAACACTGAAGCGTTCATAAACGGTATATTATGCCACCTGTGTTCCAACTGATTGAGACTTTTTTCGCCAAATAGCTGTCTACGGATACGGTTGACCGAAAATTTGGTTCCGTCATGTTTGACTTAGCACAGGGTGATGGCCAGTTAACAGACAAAAATCCGGGTGCTTATGGAAAGTAAGTCCTGAACAAGTGTACCGATTGGGATCATCATCCATTGTAGACATTGGGAGATTCAACCTTTGTGTCTTTTGGCGCTGATCCAACAATAAGATCTGTGCCCTCAAATAAACTCCTTCAGAGAGGCCAGCTCAAGCCATGATCACTGCACTATGATCCCGTTAGATTTGACTGGCTCACTATGAGGGCTATTCCAACGAGATGGGTATCACTTTTCTTTATCGCTGATCAATGGATGTGGATGTCTCATATCTTAAATCTGGGCAGTTGCAGACGCGCCTTTGGACATCTGGGCGGGTGTAGTTGGATCGCATACATGAGGGTGTTTTTTGTTTGAAAGTTGCGCGAACTCCATGGCAGTCAGCGGATGTAGTGGTACTGATCCAACCCAACAAACGCTTCGGATAGTGAAGGCAAGCAGGCGGACGCGTTGAACCCAACGGTAATACTGGTGAAAGTGAAAGCACAGTCAGATCATACTCTCGTTGTAGCTCGAACAAGTTTGTTCTGTCCTTCGGTCGTTCACTTTGGTGATGATAAAATTGTGAACGATTCAACTAATCTAGTCTTACAAGGATATAATATGACGTCACTATTATCGGTGTTCTACTGAACCGTTACATAAGGGTGAAGCAGGAATATAGATGCCCATTCTGGAACTAGGAACCCCAAAACGATGCCCTATGAGTTATCCACTGCCGTTAGAGGAATAAGCTGCGTGAGGGAATACGCAGTAATTGGAAGCGTAGGTAACTGTATTTTGGACAGCATATCGGAGGTTTAAAGAACTTGTAAAAAAAACTTGCAAGGAAGTGCATGGAACGGTTTCTTAATTAAAATCCATTTTTTAGAATAGATTGTTCATCTGTTGTGTCTGGCCAGTGTCATCCACCATGAACTGACTGCGGTGTTTGATTGCTGGAGACATAAGAGGATAGTGCCAGGAAGTTTGCCATCTTCGCCGAAATCACTCTAGTCTGCCAGTCGATCCCCTGTCCATACATCATTGTTCTGCTTATTCAACCTTGGGGAAAAAATCAGACCCGAGTTGTGCTTATATGGAGGCTCATTAGTAACTTATATCCCCTTTCCCTGATTTATGCGGCGAGGCCGTTAGCCCCATTCAACCTGAGCATGCTACACACACCTGAATGACAACAGCTGAATAGGTAAGGAGGTACATGTTTGGCTAATGTGCATGGTTCGCATAAAGCTTTTGTCATCACCTGTAAATCCCATCTCTGACAGCTCATCTGATCCTAACGTCTCACATGTCGGAAGCCATGTCGCTTGTGTGACCGGGAACCTGATTCATTCTCATGTATGCTGTTGTCAGAAATGACAGTATATCTATAGACCTTTGTAATGTAACAAAAGTTTCAACCTTTTAACAATACATGAAGTTCCTCTCACCCAAATGGGTAGATGACAATATAAGGAACGTCCATGATCAGAAAGTATCTGCAGTAAAAAGCATAAAACGCATAGATATATTGATAACTGGGTTGCTTAATTGGCCGCCCACCTGGTTTTCCAGCTTGGAAAAATCTCAGCAGATGTTTTGTCACCATTCATGGAAACGTTGTCAGTGCTCGGATGGGCGCGGGGACCTACCTCCAGATGAGATGTTTGTGAGCCAAGTTCCAAGTTTGGCGAACAGGCCAACTGGCAATTACTACATACATCCAAACAGAACTCATAGTGAACCCAGATAGCATTTACTCTGCATATCGATAATGAGAATTCGGGAACAGAGAATGTAGCAAATACTTTTGGAGACTGAGTGTCTCAGGGAGAGCGAAGACGAAAGGCTTCCTTTTTGGTATCTTGATTGAGCACTTTTCTGAAGATTATGGTCGTATGGAGATACCACGATAAGACGCAGGTGATAATTTATACCATTTAGCAACAGCGCGTCTGCAGTTTGCCACCACTTTATCCTACGAAGCATAACCCAAATGTTTACGTTGTAAAATGAGCACATGGATTTACATCCAACGCAGATTTACCCTGGCTTCGAAAGTCACATGTCTACGGAAATCCCAAAATATCTGCACAGTAAGATCCTCCAATAATGGACGTTTCCGGATTCCCCATCGGTCCAGTGCCAGAAGGACAAGCAGAAATCTGTGGCTCTAAGGGCGAATGTGTAGGACTGGGCACCGTGGCCGTAATTTCCTCGCAGGGTATTGCAGCGGAATAGTCTTAACAGATTAGGAAAGCACGTGATCAATGAAAAACGTTTGGAACCTACTAATGAGTCATTGTTTTGAAAAAGTTTCGAAAAAAGCCAGTAGCAGGAACCAACAGATACATGAACCGTTATTATACTACTTGTCAATCAACCCCAATGCGGTTAATGCCAGTGGTACCTAAACAATGTACATTCCAGTCAGATCTCAGTGTATGTCCGAGGACGAGTGGAGAAAACCAGGACAAAAACAGACTTCAGAAAAGTGGGAGCCAAATGTGTTTGGTTACGTAGCACGTGTTCTTTGCCGTTCGGTTAAAGAATATCATAAACACGAAATTCAGCTGAGGCTCCCTGTGAGAATTAAGTTTCGTATGTATATCGGTACAACCCGACAAACTAGAAATCCATAATTCAGCGAAGCGTAACAACCAGCACGTATGTATTCGAATTGGCGAATATGTATAGCATGTGTAATAATAAAACAAGAGAATAATGAATAGAATAACGAATAGAGTATCAGTCATGTTCATCACATCCGCCACACCTTGAATGAGAGTGTGGATGTTTATAGTCCAGTGGTGGTCTTGATCGCAACCTTTCGGATCTTCTCGGAATGGAAACTTCAGACTCTTCACAGGTTGTGTGTTCTTCAGATACGTTTTGTCCAGATACCATAAGATCATCTACAAAGGACTCATTAGTATTTGAAACAGCAGGA